ACCTAGACAAAGATGAGGAACTGCACCTAGCAAGTGGTAGGCATCTATTTTGGCAAAGTGATGTGATGTATGTAACTGCCTGCCCCTCCCCAAGTATCTCACCTTAGAAGCATCATAAATAAACGTCATAAATATTGGTTAAAATGAAATAGTCATCTGAATTGGTTTGGAAGTCAAAGGCAGTCTATAGAGAAGCAGTAGAAATACACTGGACCTGTGCTTAAGGTAATAGTGCCGCCATCTTCTCCTGTCACTTGTTTTCAATGTAGGCCCTTCTGAATAAGAATTACTGTGGTGACTATAAATGCAGTTCTTACCAGAAGATTGCCTTAAATTGTTTGAAGTTGTTATGACTATCTGGTGGGAAGCATATCTGAAATATATATGCAAAACTGAGTTTTAAAGTCCTAAATCACTTGTATCATTCATTTAAATGCTGAAGAACATATAGGGAGTCTCAAAAGTGTTTGGGATTCCATAATAGTGTGAGACAGTAATACATTGCTTAGTTTTTATTCTGATTTCTCTTGTTCTGAATTTCTGGATTGTTTTTCCTTTGTCAGTATTTCCTTGTCACTGCATCATTTGCCTTGACAAGTTTTTTTCCCGTGTGTGCTGACGGTGTGTTGCCTGTTATTGTACTGGCTCATAAATTTTCTTAGATCTGAGGCCAACAGCTCCAGTAGTTCATAGGCTTATTTTGAAAGCAGAATTCTTTGTTGCTATAGAAAAAAGCCAAAGCAGACATTTTGGGTTTTTTTTTCCTGCTACTTTCTTTTTAGAAAATACAATACCCATGCTCTCTGAATTTACAGAGCTTGGGATTTTTTTTGCCTTAGGGACATACTGGATATTGGGGAGGAGGTATTTTTTTTTGTTTCCATTTATTTTCCATGTATTAAACTTGGAAAACTGTTTTAATGTTAGAGGGTCTAACATAGGTTAACATTTTCAAAGTCAATTGTTTTGATTTGAAGCCCTGAAGTTTGAGTTGTACAGGGAAAATATAATAATAGTAAATAGAAGTTCTAACCAACAGTAATAAAAGATGCAATTCAAGATGATATCATGATTTATCACTTGAATATAAGATTATTTTTTTTATTACAGCCCTTAGAGGATCAAAATAGGATCTGTGAAGAAGAGAAATATTAGATGCCTGTCTACCAAAGGTTGAGAGTACTGTGGTAAATTTAGTCAGACTCTACCACAGTATTATTTTTCCAGCCTCTCATGTAAAAGGTTGATGTGCCTTCTGCAAACTGTACTTAATCTGGAAAACCTTGAAGGAGAAATATAAGGTCTCTAGCAGCTGTTCAGGTGGGACTTTGAAGCTGGCACTTCCTCCAGCAGGGGCTGGGACTAGGTGACCTCCTGAGATGTGTTCAAACCTGGATTATTCTATGATTTACTACTTCTTACTCTGAGGGTGCAGCTCCGTGATTTTTTTCCTGCACTTTATGCTTCTGTTTCTACTGCTGGATTCATTGTTGAGCCAACACCAGGCTATTCTGCTTGTTGCATTTTTTCTGACTAGCTTGGCTGCTTGACTGAAGCACAGGGGTTTCCCGCTTCCACCATGTGTCTTGGAGAGATCCAACCCATGGCCCCAGTCAACATGTAAAATTGGTGGAGGTTTGTTTAGGATAAATGCATCTTTTGAGTGCAGAACCAGCATAGGTTGTTCAGCTGCTGACCAGAGAGCTGATCTATTCGTGACAGACAGCTTGAGAAGGAAGCCTTTTAATCCTGCAGTTTTTGCCACCTTTGCCCTTGCAGTTCATATTATTTTGTAGCAGACTGGAAGGTGAAGGTGATCTGTACCTTCAGATTTCTTTCAGTTTTTCGGGCTCCTGCAAATCTCTAGGCTTTCTTATGAATGGTGAAGTGGGGCGTGCAGTTACATAGTCCCCCTCTTTCCCCCTCCCGCTGCTGTAGTGTCTTGACCAAAGGGATCCCCACCAGGGATTTTTGTGACTGCAAAAACTGGGCTTTTAGATATGTGGCCTGATTTTCAGAAGTACGGGAATGAGATGCAGGTAATGGTAGAGGAGAAAAGTGTACAGTAACTTTGGCCCAACCAAAACATACTTTATGGCCCAAGGAAAGCTTTTTCTTCAGAAAGCTGGCCAACATACTGTGCTATAAATGGTGTTCTTATAATGGTGAGAACAGTACCAGTATTGGGGCAACTCTTCTGTGGGTTAAGCCCTCAGATAAAGCTCTGCCTTTTCACTAGCAAATTAACTTTTCTTAAAGTAGGTTGCTGTGATTCTGTATGACGATTCAGGTCCCCAGTCACTTGCACATGGTTTTTTGCACATGCATTGTTTTTTAAAGTAGAAACTATTAATAATCTTGTCCCAAAGCATTTCTTATGTTGTACTAAAACCTGTTCAAGTGGAATTTTTTCTCTTCTGAGGATTTTGGCTTTTGTACTACATGAGAAAAACTTTTTGCTATTTAAGATTAGATTCTAATTTTTTATTTTGGTTTTTTCCTTTTCCCTCAGAGGTGATATATTTCAGGAAACTGAAGACTTAATCTGTCTCTGAGAGGAAAATATAATCTCAGACATACCTAGACTGCTGTTAAGTCATGTGTCGTATAACTGAACTCTTAAATTTACAGAGCTGTGTCTTTAGAAGTATCCTTTTCCTCACGGTATTCAAAGGTGTCACAGAACCATCGTTCCTCTGGTAATTAAAAATAAGCCAGATATTGTAGGCATTCCTCTAAGCCAGACTCTAGGATATTGCTTTTAAATTGTGTTAAAAGCTTCCAGTCCTTTGGAAAAATTACAGGACAGCTTTTACTTGTGGAATGCAAATACTATTTTTCTGCTTGTTTGTTAGTGTATTTATGTGCACTCATTAAAATGGTGAATTCTCTCTTTTCTGCAGGCACAACTTGAAGACATTCAGGAGTCCTTTCGAGTGAACTGGCAGGAAGCCTTTGGCAGTAACAGTGGCTGTCCTCTGGAGATGCTGAAGCTCAGCTTTATTTTGAACTTTCTTACATATCCCAACTTGTGCAGAAAGGACCTAACATTGATTGGGATTCATATGGTATAAAACAGTCATGGGTATGGGTGGTTTTTTTCCTTTTACTTGACATCTGCATGTTTCTGGCAATCAGTGGTGACGTCTGTATTAGGTCTGCTGACATTTGGTGTGGTTTTGAGAGCTCTGAGTGACAGGTACTGTAAACATCCTACACTCTCAGCTGTGGAAACTAAGAAAGCTGGGAGAAGGCTGTTTACTCTCCCTGCCTTGGAAATCGTCCGGAGGACAAGGATGACATACTGTGAGCTCTGTGTTGGTTGTATTTCTGACAACCTGTATTTCATATTTTACTTTATTATGTCAGTAAACAAATAATAGCATTATATCATGTCATCAGTGTCTCGTGTTCTGACCGAGGTCGGGAGGGCCTTATACTATACTCTAGCTGCACTGCTGGCTTGAAGGAAACTTTTAAATAGTAGCGATAATAGATTACAGTACTTTCACCCTTAAGCAGCCATTAAACCAGACCTGTCGCGCTGTTTGTTTATAGGTGGTGGTACATACAAGTTACAGTGTAAGACATCCTCAGGTTGACACGTTAGTAGTGCATTTAATCAAAATCATCCTTAAATATTTGGTGCATGTTTTCCAAGATTCACTCAGTTCTTGTTTCCTACCCAAAAGGGCTAGAAACAGAGGTCAGAAGGCAGAAATGTTCTAGGGGGCTTCTTTCTGAAGAAATTCAGAGGTGTCAACACCAATTAACTCCATCTCTAAATTAACTGAACTAAAGATACAAAGGTATTTACCTTATGTTTTCCACTTGCTATTCCCAGCCCCCCAGACTGTATTGTTCTTTGTACTTCGTCCTGACAGTCTTCCTCCTCCTCCTTGTGTTTCTTTCATTCTATGTGCTGTTAGCCAAGAAGAGCTTCTCATTTTAAAAATAGAATAAGCTGAAAAAAATAATTTTCCTTTTAAATCTAATATCCTCCTGGCATAGTCTAAGTCTTCATGAAGTATAGTTTTGCAGCTCTTCTTGAGGAGTGACTTTGGCAGAAAGAATATTGTTCTTTTTTCTTTTTTTTTTTTTTTTTTTTTTTTTTTTTTCTTATTTATGGGAGGGGACACTTTTGTGCTCTCTAAGAAATGTTTGATAATACAGTTGAATTCAAAGATCACCTTCTAGCTCCTTTTGCAGTAGCATTCTTATGTCTTTAGATCCCAGTGCTTCAGCTTTTTAGCAAAGGCATTTAAATATAAAATCTTTGAAATAAGGGCTGTTCTAAGAGTCTAAATATCAGGGTTTGGAAAGCGATGGGAGCGGGAGAACAACAGAAGAATGGTAAAAGATCATGTAAGGATTTGAAGTAGTACTACAAAATGGACAAAAAAGAATTCAAACTGTTAAGCAGAGCTAAAAAAAAAAGTGAGTTATTTGAAGCAATAACTATTTTTCAGGCTCTCGCTTGCCTTCCTTTCGGAGCAAGGAATTGGAGGGGAAGCCAGAGTCACAGGGTCCGTTAGCGTGCTGTAGCCAAGAAGTAAGTTGATGAGTGAAAAGAAGGTTGAGGTCTGGCTGTGCAGTAACAAACGCCAGTGCTTCGTGTTTCTGGGGTTTTAACTCATGACTTGTGTAGTAATTTCTAAGAGAAGCAGAGTTAGCTTCCTAAAATGATAGTTTTAAGGAGACATTAGCCGTTCAGACTAGTCAAACGATAGAGGGTAGCATTTCCTAATACACACAGTTCCCTTGGCAGAGAGGTATCTCTGAGGGTGATGGAGCACACAGTTATATCCTCCATTGTAGGCTGTGCTGTCGAGGAAAGACAACTTCCTGAAAGGACATAACATCCTGAATCTGTGGGGTGTGGTTTTTTATATTATTCTTATTTAGATTTAGGCTTGGAATCATTATTTTGTGTTGATTGGCAAAACTTCTCTGTATTTAGCATTACTTATTTGGGCATTTAACAGTGAAGTTCCATCTTCAGTTTCATCAGTGTAAGTTGGGACTGTTGGAATCTTTCTCGTACATTCTTCCTTGGCCACATTTTCCTGCCCTTTTACTTGTTGCTGACATTATATTCGTTTAAACTGCAAGCTAATTCAGTGGCTTGACCCTGCTGAAAACTAAATAAGCAAAACAGCTTTTATGTGGATCAGCTGAGTAATGGCTTACTCCACCACTGTGCTCTGGCCTAATATGCTACTGAAAATGCTAATTCCTTCAAATATGAAGAGCTAGAACAGAGGTTTTTCTAAATAGATTACGAAATCCTAAAACAGTAAGATGGTGAAATTACAGGATTTTATATTTTTGTATTTTATTTGATATTAATTCTTCTGTTAATGCTGTCTGAACTCAGTTGCGAGCATGGTGCTAAAATAAATTCAGATAAAATTGCTTTAATTAAATTTTTTCACTTTTTGAATGCTATTTATGCTTCTCTGAAAGATTTGTTTGTAAAGTTTAATAACTAAATTGTATTGGTAGTAGCAAGCAACCAGTAATTTTGCTACCTCCAGACCTTTAATTGTAAAGGTATCCTCTGAGGTACTTGCACTGTGCTGAGCACTGTATAAATTGCATTATTTCTAGATCACAGAGGTTTGTTTGTGTTTTTTTTTTTTTTGTTCCCCAGGTATCACTTGCCAAACCAAAGGCAAATGTTAGTCTTTTTCTCTTGTTAATCTCAGACTTCAAAGAGTTTAATATCCTTTCCAGTCTATCAATTAAATACAGAGCTTTCCCATTGTGAAAAAACGTGCAGGGCTGTTTCAGAAGCCTGTTGCCAATAATGAGTTTTGGATTGAGTCCATGGAGAGGTAATCTGGATAGCTACTGCAGCAAGTCATCTGTGGGAAACTGCTGATTGTAGGCATAGGCTTTTTTTTTTTTTTTTTTTTTTTTTTTGGTAGAGTGGTTCTGCCAAGATGCAAAAGTGACTTGCTCCAACTGATTCTTGGCATCATCGGGGACAATATCATTCTTGCATGTTAAGCTCAACATTCTACCTTGATTATGTTTTTATTATTTTTTATGAGGAAGCGGAGGATAGTCCTTATTATCATGTTTCTTATTTCTAAACCTAAGTGTAGGTACTGTAATTTTCTCCCTCTAAACTCTTAACACAGGTGAAGCAGAATTATTTTTTTTTTTAAGCTACATTTCTGATTACATAGTCCCTTTAGGTAATTGCCTAACATCCAGTTTTGGTAATATAGGGAATGACTGTGGGAGGAAAGAATGTGTAGGAGTCCTTGGGCAGAGCTGTTTGTTTGGAGATTGCAACCTGACCTTGAGATTTATGAGTGAAATATTAGAAATATATTTTATTAAAAGTTTCAAAGAGCTGCTAGTGAGGGAGGGGAGGGGTGAAGGGGGAAGAGAGGTGACTGACTTGTCATCCAAAGGGAGAAAAATAATATACTGTTGATTTTAAGTGTAAATGCTTCCTTGATAATACAGTGAAAGAGAGCAGCAATTGTCCTTGATGCTTATACAAAAGTCAAGTTCTTTTTTATGCAGTAAATCTCACTGTCACTGATTCTAATTCAGTGCAGGAGAATTTAAAAGTCTGTGACAAGCTATTCTACTTTGAAGACCCACATCTAAATTGAAGGAGAAAAAAATGTTTGCTTTGAATGAAAGAAGAGAAAAAAAAAACCCACATTATGTGGAATTCAGTCATAACTGCCCCTGAAATGAGAGAGGGGATTCTGGATTTGAGTTTTCTCTGTACTGTGATTCAGATAAGAACATGTAAGAGCAACTGTCCTTCTGCAAAATGCAAACAGGTGTGGAACATCTGCAATACAAATATGCATTCACAGGCAAACAGATGTGGGGTTTTAAGCTTAAAAATACATTAATTTAAAATCTGAGCAAACTTTTTTGTTTGCTTCAGATTTTCTTCAAAATTAGAATTCTATTTTTTTAAAAAAAACTGGTTGGTTTTTTTTTTGGTAAACTGAGTGTCTTAAAAAGTACATTTAGTTAAACAGAATGCAAAAGGTGAAGCTTATTTTATTCTTGTGTGAAACTTCTGGTTCTTGCCAGCTTGGGCTTCATCCAAGACCTACTTAGCTACAGTTTGGCTTTTGTTTCCTTATTTTTGACCTTTGGTTTTAAGGATGTTAGCATGTATTAATGGAAATATACTTTTGTAGCAACCACATTATATAAATAAGCAGACTTCAGCTAAGCATTGCAGTCTATAACTACAAGATACCTCAGAAGAGAGGCTGAGGGCTTGCTTATTTTAAATAGTGTAATACAATAGCTAAACTACACCTTATTCAACTCTCCAAAAGGGAGTGTAGAGCGAGCCTGTGTCATGTACGCCTTACGTTTGTGACGCAGACTCCGTTCCACAAGCGGATCCAGTTTTGTTCCTGCTACAGTTAATAGGGGATTTTTGTTGCTGCCTTCGTCCTGTTAAGTTGTTAAAATAATACTGCAGAAAGATGGGCTGTAGTTCTGGATTTGGACAGTCTCTCTGTGCTTCATTTTCTCCTTTGTGAAAAAAGATGACGCTTCCTCTGTAAATGTGGAACTCCACGTTGTTTGGGAGTCTCTCTCTTTGCAGTGAAGAGTGTTTCCCAAAATCATACCATCACAAGCTAGTTTGTCTCATTGTATTCCAGCCTTTCACTATGATTTTAGATAGACTGTGCTGCTCAGTTGTAGTGCTGGGGAAGTGGAAGGGATGTGCTTGTTACAAGACCTAATGCGGGGTTACCATAAAGGCTGTGAAGAGCTCCTTCTTGCACTTCTGTTGCGATGCCGTCCTCCGATGGGCGTCCAAGCGGGCGTACAGCACCTCTGCTAGTAGTGGTTCTAAGTGCGTGCTTACAGGGCAGCCCAGTGCCGTTTGTACAGTCATACCGAGGCAGCTGGGGTATCGAGAGCTGCCCAGTTATGGCAGCACAGAAGTCAGCCCCAAGGCAGCCTCACCCCACTTGCTGAGACCCTGGGTATATT